AACACTTTGTTCCTCCTCTCTCCCTCCCAGAGACTCACCTCTTGCACGGGGGCCTCGCCCATTCCCCTCCTCGGCCACTCTGGTGCCTCGTAAGCAGCCCCACTGTGCTGTTAATTAAATAAGGGCATCTTTCAGGGGAAGGCGGGGAATAATCTACTTCATCTCTCCTCCCCACCTGAGGGAGACCACTTCCCCTTTTTGTTTTCCTCAAGGGCCCTTGTCATGACTTTAGGGAAGAAAGCAGCAGCATAATAAACTGGAAAAATCCTGGGGAGAGATGATGCAAGAGAGAGCCACACAAAGGAAGGAGCCCTGGAAATCCCAGGGAACCTCAGGGAATGAGGTCTTAGATGATAGGTGAGTATAGAGGGTGGAGTGGGGCCCACTTAACCGATTGTCCCAGCACTTTTCTTCACAGATGTGAACCAAGGCCAGTAAGGCACAAGATCTTACTTAGTATGCTGATGTTCTACATCAATGTGTAAGTACAACTATAAAACTAAGGAAATATTCCTTAGTAGCTGACAGTAGTTCGTGCTGAATAACAGGACACGATTATTTCTCCCATTTCCTAAATTGTCTTCAGTTGCCTTGTACTACTTGAATATCTGAATCCCAGAACCTCCCCTCCAACGTGAGAACAGAGGCAAGAGTATTAGGAGGTGGAGAAGCTAAAATTAAACTCAGACACAGAATAGCAGCTGTTTTATTTTCTGTATTTATTAAACATTTAACTACCAAACAAAACACATGAATCCCAAGCACCCACGGGCCAGTACAGGCAAAAGATTAGGCCCTAGTCATAAAGTGGCAACCACTGCAGGCATCAGTGCCCTAGCGAGGTGCCTCGAACGGGACAGGCAGTTGGGTTTAGCCCCCTTTATCCTGCTGCGGCTTAGCAAAAAAGGGAGGCACAACGCGCTGCATGGTCCGAGTCACCCGGGAAACCTGGTCAAGACAGGAGGTGATGGACATTTGGAGTTGGCCAGGGTCCTCAGCAGTCAATCGGCTAACAGGGAAGAAAAAGTAAAATTCAAGTCAGAGGGGCGGAGGGGTACGTTCCCCCATCTGCCCCTTCACACAGCCAACAGTCCTAGAGCATCACACTCCTCCCTTACGCTTAATCCTTCCCGGTTTCCATTACAGCTCCTCCTGAACTCACATCGTCCCTGGCCACTTGCCACCACCCTCTCCCCTGACCATATTCTAGAACTAACACAGTCAGGACGCTGCCGTTCACATCGAGCTCCTGCCGAACTGGCCCTCGGGGTTCAGCATGTGAAGTCAGGAACCAGTGGGCAATCTCCGCCTCCACGGGCGATGGGAAAGGTACAGTGAGGGCGCTGGGGAGGTATATGGTTAAGGAACCATCCACGGTATCAATCTTGCCTCTGCCACGGGCCTCCTCCTCCATGAGGCCTGTCTTTCCCCGCCAGGCTGACCCTCAGGCTGTCCAGCGCCTCCCACCCTATACACATCGGGCCCCCCCTCCCCGCCCCGGGACAGCACCGCCGCCACCGCCTCATCCCCCTCAGGCTGGTTTTCCCCCACGCCGCCACCACCACCCTCTGTCAGCACAGGCCCACCCCTCGCCGATACCCTCCAGGCGTCCAGAGTGCCCTCCTGCTCCCCTTTCAACCCCGCTTGCCTGTGTCCCCCATCAAACCACCTCCAGCCCCTCCCCGTGCCGTCCAGCCCACAGGGGCTCCACGAAGAGGATACATCTGGAGCGGTTGGCCCCCAGGACCTCCAGCCGCCGGTGCTGCAGCTCCATCAGGCCCTGGCGCGTGGGGGGCCTGCTCCATCGGGGGCACGCCAGCAGAAGCGGCGCCTGCCTCTCCCTCCGTGCCGGGACTTCCGGGACTGCCCAGGCCTTCGGGGTCGCTGGGGTCACCAGGGTCACGGGGTTCACCAGGACCACCCGGCGCCCCCACCACAATGCCCACAGCACCTGTGCCTTCGTGTACAGCCCTCACGGCTCGCCCACCATCCGCCTCAGACCCCGTCTTGGATCCTCCCACCCTCCTCACGAGGCACAGAAGGACAAAGCGCTTCCTTACAACGCTTCACCCCTTCGTGCGCATTGCAACTGGGAATACCCCAGAACGCCTGCGCAAACACAGCCCTGGTAATGCCTCTTGACTCGTGATTGGTTCCCACCAAACAGCCCTAGAGACCCCGTACGTTTTTTTCTGTACCCAATCCGTGCTCTGCTCGCTTCTGAAGTTCCGCCCCCTTAGTGCCCCTCGGGCTCGGCGAACAGGCACCCGCATGGGGGGGGGGGGGGGGGGGGGGGGGGAGGATCCTCTGAGCCGGCCCTGCCCCCAGCATGCTCAGACTGCCGCGGCGCAACTCCTAAAGCCTCTGAGCGCAGGACTGTTCCTGCTGAGCCTGCCCCCCCCCCCCCCCCCGTAAAAGCCCAGTTCACCTCAGAACCTGTGCTTCCGTCAGCCTAGCCAACCGCACGTGACCAGCTGGCTTTCTGCATATCCCCCAGCCAAGTCCTTAGCTCATGGGTTATTGAAAACGAGGCCCTCCCGGGTGGCTCAGTTGGTTGGGCGACTGCCTTCGGCTCGGGTCAGGATCCTGGTAGTCCCGCGATCGAGTCCCGCCTCGGGCTTCCTGCTCGGCAGGGAGTCTGCTTCTCCCTCCGGCCCTCTTCCGTCTCGTGCTTTCCATCTCTCATTCTCTCTCTCTCTCAAAGAAATAAAATTGTTTTTTAAAGATGTTATTTATTTATTTGAGAGACAGAATGAGAGAGAAAGCACATGAGATGGGGGGAGGGTCAGAGGGAGA